TGCTTTGTTTTCTATTGTTAATTTATATACATTTTTGTTTTAAGAAATTGCTAAACATTTTCGTCTACTACTGTACAGTTCTAGTCGATCTCCTAAGACCGCCCATCGAGAGCTCTGCTCGTTCAAGCTTGTTCCAACTATTTCTGTCTTGCTCACGCCTAGTGTGTATTCTTTCTATCTTCGCGCAGATTTCTTCAAGGTCACAATTCAAACAAATTGAAATGGACTGTATGTAGGTGGATGACAACATTCAAGAATAACAAAAAAAAGAAATAGAAAAAGCCTCAAAAAATTTTTTGAATGAACTTTTAGCGTACGACTTTTATATCATATTGGAGCTAATAAGGTTCAAAAAGTTAATTTAACACAGAACAGTAAAAGGCAACGAACTGAGAATAATATTTAAAATTTAAAGGTAACTCTTAGTATAGAAAATAGTAAAATCCGTAACTAAATAAAAGTATTCTAAAATAAACTCATTTGAATCCATTTTGAAATTCCTAAAAGAAAACTGACAGTATTGTTATTGTTTTGTTTTTAACTGTTTAAATTTTAAATTTAATAAAACTCTTCCCCTCGCAATTTCCACCTCTTCTGCATAAGGAATTTCAATATTTTTCTCAATTTTAAAAGCATGTATGAAAAATGTTTTTGTTGCGAATAATATATGCATATAATATAGCGTGATAAATATAACTTCATTCGATTTGAAAATCAGATTTCTAAAACTTGGAAAGAACCTCCAAACAATAGTAAACAATAGATAAGTCACGTTAGTGTGTACTAGTTTTGCGAAAGTCTATTTCAAAACAATGTGTAAAATAAACTTCTTGACGTAAACATTATGTTTGGGTAAAGTTTAATTTTTAATGATATGTTCGAATAATTCATAAGATCTATATCTAGTAGCTGCCTGTATCTAAAGATACTTCAATTTATTAATTACTTTATCTAACACAATACTTTTGTTATTTGCTTATATAAGTAAGTAAATAAGTTCGAAATAAATTTCTCTTTCAGTAGGAGTAATCATAAATATAAAAACAACACTAATTTACATAGTATTTTGCGTAATTTTATCTCATTACCATACAACTGTATTCAAAGCATATTAATAAGAAAAGAAGCCAGAAAATACAAAAAGACTTACTTTTCTTCTTCAACTAAAACATCATTAAATTAAAATAAACTGTTTCAAATTCATTATTTCTTTCAAAAAATTGTTTTTCACAGTTAATCACAACAAGTTGTTAGAAATAAACAAATCTTCGTCGCGGCAGTAGTTTTAGAACTACGTTACACGTTTCTTTTTGTGTCAACTGCTAATACATCAAACTCGTCAAAAAAGAAAAAATAATTGTCAGGAAATCATTTCGCGCGTCATAACGCCGTTGTTCTTACTACCACTAATTGTGAGTTGTAGATTTTCGGTTAAAAATGTTAGGCAAGGCAGCCAAAAAAGGCGGAGTTAATGATCCAACGACTAGAACTACAATTCATTGGTAAATTTTTGTACGTTTTAAAAAATAACACTTGTCTTTTCGTGATTTTTACTAGTGATAAGCAAAATTGGCCTTAATTTTGTCTTTATGTTAGGAAGACCAAGACGAAGACATAACGAGCAAGACCAACGCTAAAACCATGACTTAAGGAACATGATGATGACTAAAACCAATAGACCGTAGAGAACTAATAATTTTTCATTTTCGTTTATTACTTTCGGTGGATTTATGAATTAAACTGCATTCTGTAGAAAAGGCCAGACGCGGATCACGATTTCGGATCTCATCAGCGCGTCGCGGACAGCTTCGACAGAACACAGACCAATTTTACTAATTATTTTTAATTAAACTAATTTTAACAACTCAAGACGCTGCACCGTCTCTATTTCTGATCCTACTTTCAATTTACCAATATCGTTTTAAAATAGATCGCCACCCCCGTTAATAATGGGATCACAAAGCCAATTGTTCTGGATAATGTTTCAACGTGCGCCAAATAAATTACTGCAGTGGATGTAGCGTACTGTTTCCACCCCCGATGACGTTTAGGGAATTTAATAAAATTTGTTCCGCGGGTTACTTCGCCATATCGCTCGATAATATAATAATA